ACATTGATATATATATATATATATATTTAAAATTTTATGATATCTGTAAATTTATATTTTATTCAAAAATAAAATCAAATTATTGCTTTCTTAAAACACATAAAATCGTATTATAACATCTACAGAGACAAAGAATAAAATAAAACATTAAAATCGAGATGTCTCTCGCTGCATTGCGCGAGTACCCTTCTAGTAAAATTGTATTGGATTTGGTTCGAGTTAATAATATTCATTTTTTATTATTTTTGAGGTTCATAATTTTTGAACAAATTTGTTATTAAAGAATTTTTATGTTAATCGGAAAATTAATAAGACGATCAGAGTATAAATAAGTCTTCTCATGAACTATTCATTACGATAAAAACTCGTATACTTATATGAAACACACTGAATGATAGATTTGGAACTGAATTCATATTTAGTTACCTTTTATTGAATCAGTGAATAGATCATTACTCACTTGTTCATTAATTTTATAATGATTGAGGTAGTGTTCTTTGTTTGTTTCTTTAGTTAATTTATTGAATGGTTCAATTATTCATTTAGATTCGTTTTAATTTATTAAAAGTGTTTATTTGTCCATTTTAGTAAGGCTTAATGGTTAAGTTTGTCTTTATAGCGATTCCCACATTCTATTATACCCAACCATTTAGGTTATTATTATTGAATTTGTAGTACTCATTGCTTGCGTCCCTCTGATCCATAATTGGGCATCATGCAAAACCTTTTATTTGCATGAACCAGACAAAACTTTAGTTCTATCAAAAGGTTGGCGTAGTCCATATATAAAAGAGCGTCCTCTATAGTTTAATTTGAACCGAGTCTCTTTCAACACTTTTTATATTAGCCTTTTAGGCAACAAATGTAAAGTCATTTGACATCCCTAAAAGGGCAAAATAGTTAGTGCTTAATTAAGTTGCCGATTACAAAACACTTATCTAAGTATACATGATTTCACACTCAAAGATAGCGACCATGGTAAACGTTAGGTAATTCTGAAGCAAATCATGAATACTTATGACGCAAAAGACACTATTAGAAGCTAATAAAAGCAATTGTAAGGGTTGTTTCATTACAACGTAAAAGATGATGTTGTGTGCCAAAATTTCATTGTACATCTGAACAACGGTACTTTTGAGGCTCTAAGCCAAGTTACCGACTAGGTAAGCAAGGGGTTGTAAGAGACATTTAACAACAGAAATGTCTTCATGTACAAGGAAAAAAAGTTTATCGACATAAGATGATATGAGTGTGCGTGAAGGGTAGGGATGGGAAAAAGTAGACAAGTATATAAAATTTATGATGATATACTTGTTTGTGTTTAAATCAACTGTAGATGACCTTATTACTGGTCCCCTTTTACAAGAACAGACTAATAGGATCTGCTTCGTATCCAATAAGCCTTTATACTTAAAAACCCATTGTTATAGGTAGAACTCTTTATGTTGGATTGATCATAATGATAAGAATTCGCTTTTAATGTTATTTGGAATTGGAGCCATTAGTAAACTCAATGTAAGACAAACAATGGACTTTTGAGTCTTTGAGAAATACGATGATCGTTTGCAATTGCATAACAAATGAAATGAATATGAAGTGTTGTTTGATCCAATTAATTTGCCATACTACTATTTTGGGCCTAAATATCTACTTGGGCCTTTATTGGATTAGAATCAAAATTTCAACCATGTAATGTAAAGTATGTTTATATTTTGTAGCCCACGTAAACGAGGAAAGTAGAAACAAAGGGTAAAACGAAAGTGATTTTTTCTTCCAACAAACAAAATTTACACAAGGACGGTGAAAAAAATCCATGGAAATAGAGGTAAAAACACATAATATTTGACATCCTCCCGAAAAAAGAAAAGAAAAAGATACTGTTATTTCCCTTAAAAAAAGGTTTAGAACGTATAATTGCAACTTCCTTTCATCAAGAGACTGTTCCAAACCACAATCAGTGCCACCTTTACGCACGCTTTCTATTCCGCACCTTTTTTACCTGCAAATATTAAATAACTTACTATTTTGTCCTAAAAAAATATGTGCTTTATATAAATCCTTATGAAGGCTGAATTTGGTTTGGATTTGAATGGTATGAAAATGGGAAGTTGGAATTACCGAAGAATGAACCCCTGTCAATGGAATCCTTGTTGGCATCACCAAGAGCCGCAGTTGCCAAATAGGTTTCAGCCAATTGGACTCTCTTGACGTTATCTTGTTCCTGAACCAGCATGTTCCCGTACTCCAGGAGCTTCTCGATCGTCATCTTCGGTTGCTCGAACGTTGGTGGCCCTTCCCTTGAGTTCACTAGCTTCTTTCCAATCCCTTCCACTCCAACGCCTCCGATCCAATTCCGGACTTCATCATCGTACACTCTTGCCCTCAATGCACCGAAGAAATCTAACATTAAACAAAGCAAAATTGTTCATGTTAACTAATTCATCTGTGATTTTATCGGGTTTGGGGGTTTACAATCTTATATAATTTACCGATGGATTGGCCTGGGAAAGTGTCGACAAGTTTCACAATGTCGCTGTCTGCAATGTTGTCGGTACGGAAGATACCGATACACACTCCAATTCGGTCTTCTCTGGTGGGGGCCCAGTAGAATTTTTCCATACGACCGTCACGGATSAGGGGAGCGTASAGKGTTGAGAAGTCGTTWCCGGTGACGATGATSGGGACACGWGSGTTYTCYTCYTTGTTGTACATWCCKGGGAGTTGRACGTTGGTGGGGTTRTCGGCGATGTTCATGAGGGTGGCGTTTACCATCTGGTTGTTGACAGTGTATTGTGTTGTTCCACCCATTCTACCTGCACCGGCATCCAGATCGTTGATGAAGAGACAACACATTTTCCCCTTCTTGATGATGTCCGCCGCCTCACGGTACCGTTGCCGGATCAGTTTGGCTGGCTCTCCGGCGTTCCCACTTTCCAATTCTCCGGCACTCATCATGATCGGTCTGCCAAATTTAACACACCCATCAACTCAAAAAATTAAAATCATGATGTTTGACTTTTAGATTGACTTCAAAATTGACTCGATTTCTTGAAACGAAACTTACGTGATTCCCATCTTGGCAAAAACAAGTTCACATTGGAAAGATTTGCCCTGACCTTTGCCTCCCCAGACACCAAGAATTAGAGGAACCTGCACAAAGTAAAATTTTCAGAAAATGGAAGATGATTTATGATGGCTTTCTTGAATTTTAGCAATAAGATTGCATTAGAAATGAACCTTGATGTTGGGCAAAGTCAAGAAGTTCTTGGTGATGTGAACAACAAGCTTGTCCATGAAAGCCGGTGCGATGTAGAATCCACCCATGTTGTTGTCCAAGTTGTATCTATAGATTCAATGATCAAACAACAAGAACATAATCAAGATCTAATCGAATTAATTCTTTTCAGAACTAATCCCGGCAAATTGTTGTGTACGTATTGCATCGAACAGGACCTCAACCACTTCGCAACAACCCTAGTGGTTTGAATTAATTTGTTGGTTAATTAATGAAAGGATCAATGGGAGTAAGTGGTAGATTACGTACGTTTTGAGTCCAGTGCTGATATACTCGTAAGAACTCATGACGGCGAAGTGGGTGCCGGCGTCTTGTGGAGCCTGGAAGAGCGAGTCAACCATACCCTTACCTCTGGTGATATCTTGTTGATCATCGGATATATCGTATGCAAGTCCCTTCCATTTATCTTTGTCAGTCTGCTGGGTTTCTTCGATCTCTTTCTCAGCTGCCAAGATTTTGAAGGAGGAATACTTGTTGCTGTTGATATTGGTGAATCTTGAGTTCACTATCTTCTTCAAGCTGCTACCCAAAAAGGTGGAGCTAGGAACTGCAGCAACACCACTGCTTCCATTCAAGCTCAACTGTCATCGATAACAATGGCGGATTATTTAATAGAAATTACAAAACACCCTTTACAGATCCATATAAGGGGAATTGAATGAGAGAAGAAGTATTACCGGAGCTCGGTTGACGGCGACTCCAAAGGTTGAGACGGCGGCGGCCATGGATCTCCGATGAAAGTGAGGAGATGATGAGTAGTGGAAGTGAGGATGAGTTTGGAGAATGGTTTTGTGACTTATAGTGGTAACGAGTGACCAGGATTCGAGAGGAGGGAAAGGATTGGCTTTTGAAGGTTAACGGCCACATAATCAAGATTGAACACCATGACACGTGGCATCCAAATAATGACTGTTGGATGTGAATTTCGAGGTTAGCCTTCAATCTTTCCAAGTCCACACAAAATCTTTGGCCTCCATCCTTCTTTTCATTTACCATTTTAATACATTGTTTTTATTCTTATATTATATGATGAAAACTAATTACCAGATTTGTTCATTCCATACACCATAAAATTAAAATTAAAATTAAAAGCAAATATACTTTTAAGGATTTGAAATATGGTTTGTACAAAAGGTACTAATGGGCCTCGTAAACCCAGTAATGGGGCCAATAAGCCCATCTAGTATGAACCGGGTTGGGCTTTTATATTTTTTAAGTAAAGTAGTTAACTATGTTTCCTTTCTTGTGTTTTTAGAATTATCGTTTTCGTTGTACTATGTAATTCGTTGTCGTTTTTGGCCATGTGGCTTATAACTCATTTCTGTTTGCATGGTTGACGATTAATTTTTGTTTTAGTGCCTCATACTTAACATTACACACTGAAGGTGTTAGTCTCGGAGACGGAAATAGTGAGGAATTCCAAACCGTAAGGATGAAACGTAATTTTAAAAGCACCAAGATAAAATCACAATTTATAAAAAACGACATGAACGAAAAATACAGTCTACTTTTGATTTGTAACAAATATTAGAGTTGATGGAAAATTGGAGTTCCTAAGTTCAATGAGGCCTCCCACGTAAAAAATATGCTCAAAGAGACATGTTTCCAGTTAGGGGTGTACTTGGATTGGGTTGGGCGGTTTACAACATTTTTACAACCCAACCCAATTATGACGGTTAGTAAAAATCTCAACCTAACCTAACCCATTCAAAAGTACAATGTATTAGTATCTATAATTGATTTCTTCTGTGTAATACTAATCGATAGGGCAGGCTCGAACTGATGACTTCCACCACGTCAAGGTGACACTCTACCGCTGCGGTTCTTTTGAGTAATATATCTGGAAATGCCCGTTCGGGGAAAAGCATGAAAAAAAAGGCTCAAAGTACAATCCAACCCAACCCGCGGGTTGGGTTGGGTTGGCGGGTTAGTAGTTACATAATTTGATAAATGAAATAATTCATAAAACTTAAGTTTATGGATCATACTATAAAACGTCTTATCTAAAAAGGTTATAATGGGTTTATAGGGCGTTTTTGGACATTTCAACAAGTGTTTTAAAATGATGTTTAAATAAAATGTCGTATTAGTTATTTTATAGAAACGTTTTGAGAAGTGTCCCGTAAACTCATCTATTTATAGGACATCTATGTTCATATGACACTTTTCAAGTTGTGTTGTATAAAATAACTAATACGACACTTTATTATAAAAACATCATAGAATTTGTTAGGATGCCCAAAATCATCCTATAAACATATTGTAACTCTTTTAGATAAGAAAATTTTCTAATGTAACTATTTAAAAGCGTCATAGATTGATGAATTTGTCCATCAAATATCTATCAATATCATTCATATTCTCCAACATATCAATTTGCTGTTATTGTAAAAAAAATCAATAATTTTCCTTATTAATTAAATTATTTGTCATCATTCTTTGATCGTAAATCTCTTTTGGGAACCTATACGTTTAGCTAAAATGAAACAAAATATCAATAAAAATTATACATTCATAATATATATATATATATATATATACACACACATACACACATAATAGGTGGAGGTTCAAACGAGAACCATGTGATTTACGAGAATGCGAGAACAACCCAATAATCTCAAACTTTTTTAATTCATAAATTAACTTATATTAAATATAAATAAATTAATAAGGACATTAATGTAATTAAGTAATTTTTATAATTTTATTTTATTTTAATTAATTATAATTATCCCTTTTTTCCTGCACGTTCGTTTTCATTCTCTTCTCTTCCCCTGTGATAATTGTGTGATTGTGTAACCATAACCTATCGAAACCATGATCAATCGAGTGTAACCATAATCTATCGAAACCATGGATAATCGTTGTGATAAATGTGTGATTGTCTAACCCTAACCGATCGAAACCATGATCAAATTGAGTGCGCAAGTGATGTTATCATAGTGATATCACATGATTATCACACTCATATCACATCAAATCATTTAGCGGATTTCGCCCGTAATCGTTGTGATAAATCTGTGATTGTCTAATTCTAACTTATCGAAACCATGAGTAATCGTTGTGATAAATGTGTGATTGTCTAATCCTAACCTATCGAAACCATGAGTAATCGTTGTAATAAATGTGTGATTGTCTAACCCTAACCGATCGAAACCATGATCAAATCGAGTGTGSYWTTTATGATAGTGATATCACATGATTATCACACCCATATCACACCAAATCGGTAGTCGATTTCGTAAGTTAACCCTAGCCGAACAGAATCCTTGTGATAATTGTGTGTTAGTCACATGATTATCACACCCAAATCACAGCAAATCGTGTTGAAATAAACGATAACCATAATAGCCCATTATGTTATCCAAATTATCGGGTTTAGTGTGATCGTGTTTTTAAAATTTTATCAATTTGAATTCCAATATTACCCTTTTGCCCCTCAATTTTTTTTGAATTGTTTTAATTTTATTTTTAATTTAAAAAATCTTTTAATTTTTATTGTTATCACAATATGAGGTTAATAGGTTGTTCTCGTGTTTTCACAAATCACAGGGGTTCTCGTTTGAACCTTTCCCATACATAATAAACATATATATAAATAAAATTTTATAAATATATATATATATATATATATATTAGTGGCGGGTTGGACGGGTTGAGCTAGGCTCAACCCAATTTCAACCCTCCTAATTGGCGGGTTAGCGGTTTGACGGGTGGACGGTTTGGCGATTAAACGGGTTAAGTTTAATTGGGTTGTTAGGCGTTAGCGGGTTAGGTTGGGTTGGACGGATTTCATGGGTTGACGATTTTTTGTATACCTCGGCTCTAATTCCAGCCTTCCAGGAGCAATTGATTGCTTTAAATAATGAGATTTGTTTCTCTTATAGATTATGTGGTGTAAATATTTGTGCTTTTAGATTAAAGTAATGTCTTTTTAATTGATTAAAGGTATCACCTTTTAATACCAATATTAGCAAATGCAAATAGAAGCAAATATCAAATCAGTTGTGATTAAGGGGTTGTAGTGGAAAATCTCATATATTCTGAGTTCGAAAGCAGACACTGTCAAAACCCTTGTGGCCATGAAGATTCACATGCGATGACTCCAGGTCATTTACAATTGCTCAAAGAATTAGTCGGTGCGTCTAAACTGGCCTGAAAAACCCACAGTTACCTCAAAAAGATCAAGATATAAATAACCAATTATTAAAAAAAAAAAAAAGATGCAAGAAACATTGTCTAGAAGTCTGTTGCGGTTTTTATTTAATCAACAAGTTTTGTTGATAATTGATTCATATCTAAAACGGTTCTAGATGGGAACTTATAAGTTCATTTGGTCCATGTATTTCTAGAGCTACAATTTGCCAATGCCAATAAATGATGTATTTCTCTTCGCAACCCACTTTTCCAATTTTGTTCTCCAATCAACGTTTATCTTTTTCGAAATAGGTTGATTATGTCGACCTGATTGACAAACAACTAAATGAAGCAATTATACATCTTCCAAAACATGATTACGTTGTTTATAATCTCGATTTTCAATATCTTTGATCACCAACTACTTAAAAAATTATACTTTCAAATGAGTCAGTAACTTGGTTAAGACGTAATCCATTTATTCTGATAGCAAAAATAAATATATGATAATAACAGTGTTTGTGATTGAGAGACTGTTGACAGTTACTGAATGGCTTGGTGCAGAATGATTAAGTAGTCAGAATGATTAAGAGACTCTCATGATATAGTGCAAAATAAAATATAATCGTTTGTTAATTGTTCACATAAAATTAGGATGTTGAATGGTTAAGGGACGTCCAGCATACAAAATCATTCAGATGGTTTTAGAACCATTAAGAGACAGACTTTTTTTTGTCAAACAAATTCACCTTTTAACGATTCAAATGTTGTTTTTTAATGGAAAAAAAATTATTGGAGAGTAACACAACAAACCTATCAATTAAAATAGTAAAATGACATTCATGTATCATCTTATTATCATCCACACATTATAATACATGGACCACATCCTTCACCTTTCCCTTTTTCTATGTTTTGTTGTTTTCATGTTAAGATAACATTTGATAGATATCAAACTTAATTAAAACATATATAATGTTTAATACATCAAATTTTCAGATAATATTTAAGCAAATATTAATCCCATCTCTTAATCGTACTAATAACTTGAAAGCATTAATACAGAACATGATGGTTGTTTACCAAACACTTACAAGATAACTACTTATTCAGTGTTATTTACCTTGTTGGTGAACATGATAAAAACCGAAAATCTTACCCAGTAAGATATATAGCAAGAATCGAGAATCTTATCTGGTAAGTGTTATTGGATAGAAAGTGCTCACCAACAATCCATTTTAATGCCTGAAAATTTTATCTAATAAAGTAGACGACAGTGACGACTTTTGACAGTAAACACTTAGTAAGTATTTGGTAAACGACTTGTTAAGTAATGTTTGCTTGTTGGTTAATGAGTTGAAGGAGAACATTTAATTTTGAAAAATGGTACACTTCCATGTAATATTTTTTCACACCATCTTTTCAGTTTTTACTTATTTTAGATCGAACTGAGTATCTATTTTAAACTTTTGATCATTACAAACGCTTGAATTTAACAAACTTACTTTTTAGACTAAAGCGATGTTTAGCCAATTTTAACTAAACGTGCGTCTTTATCGACTATTATATCAAAAATTCATAGTGTCTTAAATT